AAGAGCTGGCTGACTACACCTGCTGAGAGCCAAGGTTTGAGGAGCTTAGTCTGTACTGATGTAGCTTAGTTTTTCTCTTTTTTCCCCCATTTCATCTCATCCAAAAAAAAAAGTACTTCCTCTTGGGTGTAGCTTTCAAATCTCATTTGTTTTTGCACATACTCAGACTTATTTTGAGGTGAACTATGCCTCCTTTTTCCCATCAAGCGAATAAATGTTAAGTTCCTCTTGTCAAACAAGTACCAGTCCCAAAATGTGGTTTTTGTGGCCAACCAACTTTAAAAGAGGTAGTTCAGATTAGGGATGTCAATTTTCGATCATTTCCATGATCGATCGTTGTTTAAATTAACGATCAATTAATCGATTAATCGTTAACCTTAATGCTGCAAAATGCGTCTATGCAGCCCGGCGTGACAGGATGTGCAAAAGTTACTCAAAAAAAACCCCCGCTTTCTCACCCGATTTAAAGGGGATTTAGTCTGAATAAAATGCTAGCAGGATTGTAAAATGAATAGATGTGATTATGATCATTTGATAAAATGAAGAGAGCTCGTTTGAGATAATTTTACTTTGTTGACTGTTTCCTATCCCGTCACGGAGACCGCTGAACGCGCCTCTTTAAATGGTTTCGTGGTGCTCGTTGTTGTATTTTAAAACACAATTGCAATGTTTTCAACTGATATTATGGCATTTAAAATAAAATGATCCCAAACGTAACTGTGGCGCATGTGGCTGTGCTGCGCAGTCAGTGAACCGCTTCCATCGGCGCTGCTGCAGCAAAACACACTGTTGCTCACATCAAACATTAAACATTATCAATGTGAGTATTATGACCAGTACTTAATTTGATCCTGCTGGATCCTGTTCCGGAAAATGTCAGATTTTAAATTTTTGCGTTCCGGTAGGCCTATTTGGTTTTAAAAATCCGGCATTTACAATGCATTAGATCGTGACAGTGCATGCGTGCATACGAGACGGAGCGAGCGCGGGCTTGGATAGATGTATTTGGAGGTTATTACTCAC